ACACGAGGTACGTTCCAGATCTCCAGGAGATCTAGAATAACTAGAGAGGGAACTCTCCCACACCCACTGGCACACTCAGCGCATTCTTGTACATCACCCGTTCGGGGAGCTGTGCACATGCCACTCCTGAGCCCTCCGCCTTTGCCCCTGGAGGGGAGGAACAAGTTACATTAAGATAATTTTCCCAAACACCCTTTGGAAACTTTAGGGCAGGGAGCGCAGCCGCCTTTTCATTGGAAAAGCTCAAGTTTTCTAGAAAAAGACTTCCGTTACCCGTAAACGCTGCTCCGATCGTCTGACTTTTAGTAAGAGCCTCAAGAGAAATTCAAATGACAACCACGCCGAGATACTCTCTCCCGCCTCTGCGCCTGGCAACGACGCGAAAGCTCGACAACACATTCTGTCGGCACAGCCGTGGCAACAGAAACTCACCTGTCAGTGGCGGGGAGGCAACGTGGTAGAGAGAGGGATCTGGCCACATCTCCTAACGCGACCAGGGCATTTACCCTTTGACCCAGCAAACCCACTTTCGGGAACTTATCCTGAACGCCTTCCTACCCACACGGGCACAGCAGCAGGTGTAAAGCTGATGGGAAACATTATACACGGGCGAATGAGGCTGACGACGCCAGGACCCACCAACAATCTCCGCATCCCAAGAAATGGGACTTTGCCCAGCCCAGCCCCTCGCCCGGCCCAGGGCGGGGGGGGGAAAGAGAAAGAGAACCTGAACTCAAATCAGATCAAGCCTCACAGACTAATGACACTAGTTTGCATAAGTAGCAAGGGACAGAGGAACGTGTCAAGTGAGCCCCCAAGGGCCAAAGCAGCAAAATCCAGTATCAGGGAAATTCTACAGGACAAGCGAATTAGTTCCTTCGATGAATAAGTCGCCAGAAGGAAAGAAAAAAAAGTGCAGGGGCGTAGAGATTCACAGACACACCAACCAAACACACCGTGTGGGGCTTCTCCGAACCTGGACCAAACGAAACAGAGAAACGGGAAACGTGCTGGAGAGGGGACGATGTTACGAGAGGACTGTTAAGTGGGGAACGGGTGTTGTAGCTACGTTTTCAAAAGGGATCCGTAACTTCAGAAGAGCCATTTATGGACTCAAAAGGGTTCTGGGATTTGCTTCCGTAAGGCAGCGAGGGTCTCAGGGGTGCGGCAGGGTGACAAAACAGGACCGGCCCCTGTGTGGTGACTTTTGCCGAAGTGCGGTCAAGGCCACAGAACGGTTCCACGATACTATTCTCTCCGCCACTGTGTACGCCTGACGTTTTCCATCGTTAAAAGTTTATATGCATTACACGCACACGCTCCCACACAGGCACGTACCTATTCTATCATTAACCCAGGACGGTGTTCGTGGCCAGCTCCCATTTACAAAAATTAACAACATACACAGACCTGAAAAAAAAAAAATACAAAAGGTTCTTTTTTCCTCACTTGGACCCAAGCATAATGATGGATTTCCTTGTTAGCCAGGAAAGTTCACCAAGATAAACAAGTAAGAGTTTAAAATGTTATAAGCGGCTAAACTCCTGGCGAGGTGCTCTGGAAAAGAACAGCAGAAAATTTTCTGGAGGAAAAGCTAGGGTCTCTGGCTTAAATCGATGCTGGTAATAACATCCGAGAAGCCCTTTCGTGTACAACAGCTCGTGTATTAGGGGTGAGGCAATCACATTATCAATGCTTCCAGAAGGTTCCCCAAATGTCCTTGATAATAATGCTAATCTGCAGGATTCGATGGAAACTTAAGAGTCAATCCTCAATACCAGAAAGAGAATGAGGCTGTTTCTGTCTCCTGCGTAGCGTGTATACTCAGAGGAAGGCTATCGGATTAGTTTTCGCTTGCAAAGAAAGGTAAGCATGGCACGAGTGCCTGTGTTTTCTGTCCTTTCCGTGAGGACAGACTGAGCCTGTAGTGACAATGCAGCCACCTCTCCAGGCGGCTCGACCTGGAAAGCCGCAGTGAGTCCCCCAGGGCCGAGGCCAGGTCCAGAACCTTCTCCCAGCCTCCACTGGGGAGCACGGGCATCCTCACGGGCTCTGGAAGGGGGTGAAGACTGTCTCCTTGGCAGGGACACGTTTACCATCACCACTCCCCAACGGAGACCTTGCTAAGGAAAGCAGAAAGCAAAGACAAAGCACGCTGGCCCTTCTCTTCTTAGGAGCACGACCCATACTCCGCTCCGGCCGCAGGTGTGAAGTCACAGCTCTGCCTGCCCTGGCTGCTTGCCACCCAATAAATCTGGAGACAGCGAGGCCACCTCTTCCTATTGTTGAAATTAGTTCGACCACAAGCGATGGATTCGCTTCCTAGAGATGCTCGGTCCCCTGAGCCCCAACACCTTTGTTTTCTAGTGCTCAGTCATCGGCTGCTGTTGCAATGGAACCCGTGCGTTCACATAAAGAAACGGAGACGGCCGGAGGGACGGGCACCGGGCCGGCGATCCCGCTACAGAAGCCGGGGCCGGCAGGGAAAGGTGCCGGGCAAGGCTCCCCTCTGAGGCTCGGGGTTCCTGTGTGTCCTCACAGTGTTCCCGAACCACCCCGAACCTCTATCACCTTCCCCGGAGCTCTGCAAGCGAGAACTGAACTAGCTGTGCTCTCCAGCCGGCACGATGCCTAGCATTAAGTTAGGTATCATCTGGAGACACTGTGAAGTCCCGATTCTCCCTGGTAATGACAGAAAGCTCCTGGGTGGCCAAAGGAAAGAATGAAATCAATCTCTGATTCAGCCAGACAGCCCTTGTAACTGTAGAAGACCTCCCAAATGAAATTATTTGCTCCTGCTCGTTTCTCATCCGGCCCTTCGGCAGAAGTGACACAGGAAAACGTGGCCACAGCACACACGGACGCGCCCTAGCAGGCATCGGAGTATCTGGAGGCTGGCTGGGCCGTATGCGTAAAGTTACGGAGCACGAATTGGCGCGCCGGGAAACGCCGTAGCAAACGGACAAGATGAGGAACGCGACAGTAGCCGATACCGAGAAGGACTGATTTGCTTAAGCAGAACTTTTTTAAAAAGCCATATGGACCAGGGCTCGTTAAAGGAACTCCCACTGTAGACTGAAATCACACGAGACTGTGCACAGCTGGAAAACGGCAGAGCAGCAAAAAGCTGACAGTAAGGTTAAAGACTCCCGGCCGCACTAAGCGTGTGGATGGGATTATCAAAATCCACCGAGCGGCAGGGCCTGCAGAGGGCATGGCCACATCTCAGGGCCAGAGAAAGCCAAGCAGGACCCGGCTCCAGGGAGGACCCAGCTCAGTTTTCTACTGGGCCTCCCTTGGTGCCTATAATAGGTCCTTCATAAAGAAATGGGCCCATAAATCATCAACCAAACCGATCCTGGATGATTAAGAAGATGAATCGCAACATTAAACAGTATTAAACAACAGGGTTGGGCACGCCCAGCGATTACGCTTTATCTGAGGCTGAGATAATTATGCTTGTCCGACACTTACATTTGTATCACTTCCCTATCAAGAGCAACACATCAGTCCCGTTTGACACGCTGTCACCGCGTCCGCACACAGGATTCAAGAGAGTGACGTGCTGCCCACCCTTACGAGGCCCAGTAACCACACGGAGCCCTGCCACTCACCGAAGGCTGGCCAGAGCAGGCACTGGCACCGCCCTCTGGACAATTCGGCCCAATGATCTGAGGGTGCGCGTCTCCCCAAAATTCACAAGGTGAGCTCTAACTCCCAGTGTGATGGTATATGGGGATGGGGCCTTCTGGAGGGGGTGGGGGGCAACAAGAGTTAGATGAGGTCATGTGAGTGGGGTCCCCCACGAGGGGAGGAGAGACCCTAGAGACCAGAACTCACCACACCACCACCACCACCACCACGGAAAGACACGGCAAGAAGGCAGGAAGCAGGCCCTCACCACATACCACATTTGCCAGGACCTGATCTTGGGCTTCTGGCCTCCAGAACCGTGAGAAAGAAATGGCTGCTGTTTAAGCTCCCCGGCCAAGGATGTTTTGTTATAGCAGCCTGAGCTACTAGCACAATCCCCAGTGACTGACGGGAAGAGCAGGCACAGAAGGTCTCGTGAGGCACGTGTTCCAGTGCAGCAAGAGAAGCCAGGCTCTGAATCTCGACCGACCAGTAAGCATACAATACTCTTTCTTAAGAAAATCAATTCTTTTGGAAGGACAACACCACCATTTACGAAATGACTTGTGTTCATTGGATCTGCTGACTTAATATAGCTCACAAAAAAGAAATCCACCCCCAAACTCTTAGTCGGGACCAAGTTCTAATTGTAAAGACGCCAACAGGAAGGTCTGTAGACCAGACCGCCCCATAGGATGTTCTGTGACGATGGAGATGTTCGATTACCTGTTCTATCCGATGCAGTCACCGCTAGCCCTCTGGCTCTCAATCGGGGGCACGCGTGCCCTCCAGGGAACACTTGGCAATGTCTACAGAGAGTTTTGGCTGTCGCAACTGGGTGGGAGGGTACTACGGGCATCCAGGGGGTCAAAGCCAGGGATGCTGCTAAATATCCTGTGATGCACAGAGTTATCTGGTCCAAAGTGCCAACAGCAGCGAGGTAGAGAAAATCTCCACTGGCCACATGTGACTGCTGAGCATTTCAGATATGGCTAGGTGACTGGGCTTCTAAATTTTGAATTTTAGTTCAGTTTAATTTAAATAAACACAATTTGAGACTAAAAGCAACAGAACCAGAAGTCAAATTTAAACATCCACGGGGGTCCCGGACGGTGCGGCTACAGAGAATGTGCATGAATGTAAAATAAAGGTCTTGTTTCCCAGGTATGTCCATTTCAAGGAACCAAGTATCTTCGGGGAAAAGAAAGATTCCGAGGCTTAGGATTGGGGAAAACGTGAGCAGAAATAAAAGCATAGAAGCGGAAGGCCCGTGAAGCTTCGGGACGCACACCCAGGCACCCAACAGGCGAGCACAAGAGCAAATCATAGGAAACCCCCCCCCCCCACCGTCATCGCGGGCAACTCACTCTTGCAAGGTCTCCACCCCCTTTTCCTTGTACTGCAGTTCTTGCTTCATCTGGGTCAGCTCTCGTTTTAATCTGGAAAGCTAAAGACA